AATAATTCTGAGTTAATCTTGAATAATTTTGATGGTCATGTCGATAATCTCGAGTTGGAAATGATTCGACTGAATTTACTACCGAATTCATATCCCGATTTAGTTGACCCTAAATCCATTGATCTTAGGGTTATAACAAAACCTGGACTTATTGAGATTATTAATATGAATTTGGAGGACAATAATTTGCATATGAATGATTCTGAGCCTAATTGGAAAAATGAGCATCGTGTTTTATTGGAATATATTTTAGGAGTTGCTCCTTTAGATTCACATTGGAACGGGTGTGTCTTTCTTGATTGGACTTATCTCATCATTCCTCGTACCGACTTTAATGTTAGAGAGAGTGTTAGCTCATACTCTCATGTCATCTCTCTAACTGTTGTGCCCACTTCTATTCTAGACTCTCTATCCCATCTTTTGAGTCCCATACCTACTGGTGACTATTTGGGCTATCCCATTATGATTATGAGTTAGGACCCCTCGTCTTATCATGTTCCTGATTTCCCCATTATGCCCTCTATATTCTTGTCCTTCCATGTTAAGGATCATCTTTCTCCTAGTTGGATAAATTTGCTAGATTATCTTGCTGCCCCTAAAAGACTACCTATGACCCTAGCTGAAACTCCCTATAGAAATGCCCTTGTAGCTAAGGATGTCTTCATTGCTCCTACACCAGTTTTCTTAAAAAAATGAAAACTTTATATCCTATCATTTTGTGACTGACCCGTCTTTATTCCTATCTATGTGTTCTTGTGAGTCAGTATGTTTGCGTGTGTTTTAAATCTTTCTTCCAAAATTATCCTCTGTTTAAAACTTTTGTGTGAGCCCGCAATTCACGCCAATCATTATGCACGCCAAGTCTCTTGCTTCACATCATTCCAATATTATTTATGTTGTTGAGTCTTGAATTTTGGACACATGAATTCGCATAAAACATGCTGCATTTGCATCGCATCTACATGAATTACTTAAGGAAATTGCACGCCTAATTGGACAAGAACATTAATAATTATAGACTTCATGCTAAATTTAAACTACGATTTAAAGCTTTTGAGATTGGTGATTCAGTGGTGGTGCGGATTCGCCCGGAGCAGTTCCACAAGGAACTGTAAAAGAATCACATGCTAGAAGTGCGGGACCACTTAAAACAGTCAAGAAAATCAATGACAACGCTTACGTGATGGATATGCCTGCAGAGTTCAACATTCATCCCTCTATTAACATAGATGATTTAGTAACCTATGAGGATACAGAGTTTAACCCACCAAATCCATTTCATATTGAGCCTGCGACCCCACCATGTGAGAATCCCAGCTAATGTAATAAAAAATTTGGGAGAGGGCCCCAAATTTTTTATCACAAAAAAGAAATGACTTCCTAAATAAAAGAAATACATAAAAATACCCAAAAAAGACACTTTTAATATTAAAAGATGACTTACAAACTTTGACAAACTTATATAATATAAAAGACACTTACAAGCTTGACTCTTACAAACGACACAAACAAAAACACCTAAACTTGCTTTCGAGAAGAAGGGTGGAAAGAACTCGTAAGTCTCCCCAAGAGATAGAAGAAGAAGAAGTGGATAAAGCTCGCAAGCTTTTTCGAAAACCCTCTGGTTTCTTTCCAAAAATCACATCATAAACTTACTTAAAACATCCCAAAACAACTCTATATATAGACATGAGAGGGGAATACAAACAACCCCACAACATTAATTTAAACTTATTTAAATAGGGAATATGAAAAGCCAGCAACCCACTCATAATATCCCCAAAACTGCACAAGAACCCAAGCTCCACAAGCCACGGAAAAGCCCCCAACACCCACGGGAAGCAGCCCAACCAGGAACCCGAAGAGGCAGCCGCAAAAACCAAAGAGGCCCGCACAAAACCGAGGCACCAAGGCACGGGAAAACCACCCAGCACGGAAAACCAGCAGCCAACCGTGGAAACCAAGGAGCCAAGGCACGGGAACCCAAGAACCATCCACGGGAAACAAATAGACAAGGGGAAGAAGAAGAGACAAAATAATGAGCTACTAATAAATTAATAAATGATCTAAAAATATAGCTCATAATGAGCTAACTCTTAGTTCAATAAATGAACTAAAAATCAGGTCATAATGAGCTAAATCTTAGCTCAAAAATTAATGAGCTAGCAAGCTCAAGGGAAGTCAAAACCAATTTTTTTTTGGGTTTGATTTGACCTCCCCTTTGCCTACATCACCAGCCTACCTCCACTCCAAAATATTCCCAAATCCCACTCCCAAATATTCCCAAATCCCACTCCCAAATATTCCCAAATCACTTATAGCGGAGAAGATTGACATGATTCCGAGTGATGACATTATCTTCACAAATGAGGGTGGACAAAGAAGATATCTCATAAGGTGGAGAGGTCAACCAGAGTTAGAAGACACATGGTCAGAGTGCGAGGAGCTACAGCAGATCGACTCAGATGTACGAGAGTTCTCGAGACACCCACTCGACGGAGTCGAGTTTTCTTCCACCCGGGGAGAATGATGAGGACATCAGAGATCAGCGGTTATGATCTGAAGTTTATTTTTAATGTGTTTTATGTACTAGTTTATTTTGTATTTCTGTTTTTCTCATTTTACCCCTAGGGGTGGTCATGTGGTGTTGTAGCCTGAAGGGCATTTTAGTCATTGTTTTTTTTTTTTTTTTTTCATGAGGCCTATTTATATGTTAGTTCTCATGAATTATGGGTTAATGATGAATATGAATAAAAAATTTCAGCTTTTTTGTTCTTGATCTCTTTTTGAGTTCTTGAGAGGAGAAATCCTAGGAGAGGGTCATGCATCACCCGTTAGCCACCGGTGGATTCCGGGACTCGCGGTTAGTACTCGTAGTATTTTCTTATCGTCTCTTTCTTTCCCTTACATCCAGCCACCTCTTCTTCCTCAAACCCCGCCAACCACTTCAAGTCCCCAAGTCGCCGATCAACCTCAACAAGATCCCTTCCACTTAACCCACACCCCTTCCTCCTTAGCCAAACACCACCCAAAGCCCAAACCCTAACCTCCGGCCTTCCCCTCCCTTGGATCCAAAATTGATTATCTTGCCTCTTTCCAAAAATGGAGTATGAAGATTACTAGGGAGCTCCAACTCAAAATCTGATTTCAAATTCAGATTTTAAATTCTTCCCTAAATTGTCATAATCCATATTAGAAAAGTGCACAATTCGTGGATTTAAGTTACCTAGCCCAAGCCCTTGGCCGCCGGCCCCTTGCTCCACCATCTAAAGCCGCGGGCCACATCCTTTTCCACCACCATAGCCACCGGCCACAGAATTCCCTCCAAACATTTGAATTCAAATGCACCATAAGGGTTTTCCTAATTTTGCCCCACTAATTTAGGAAGAGAATTAAATTCAAATTCAAAATATTTGAATTTCAAAACTCTTCTTAAATTCCCCTCCTTCAATTTAGGAAAACCTCCCAATTAACTTAAATATGAAATTGATTTCAGATTTAAGTACTCAATCCCCTTAATTGCTTGGGCCCACCTCCTTAATGCCTAACCTCTCTCTCTCTCCTCTCTCCTTGGCCAGCTCCTTCCCCCTCCTCTCTCTAATTAATTAGGTCCCATAAATTAAGGATCTAATTAATACAATCATCTCCCTGCTTTCCCTCCCAATTCCCCAATTATTTCAAATTCAAATTTCAATTAAACATAGCCCTAATTACTCATTAAATCTGAAATTTATTTCAGATTTAATCCTCTACCCTTTCCCCACCACCAAACTTTAGAATTCAAGTCCCGATCTCATTCCTCTTTCCCACCCCATTGCTTGGCTGAACCCCTACCCACCCCCTCCCTGGTCGAAACTCTTCTGCACCTTATTGGGTGTTGTCTAGGATCTGTCCACATCAGCACCGCTGCTGTCCTGAAGTTCTGCACCTCTTCCCTACTGTTCCTTGGTGCGAGAAGGCTCGTGGTTGCTGTCCACTTCTTTCCCAGCTTTCAAACAACCTTACTGGAGTGCGTATCTCACTTGTCTTTGGGTAAACTCGACACCCAACTCGCTATCTTCATAGTTGCATCCTTGATTGTGGTTTTATTATATTCATGAAGATCATGTTAATGCTTCTCCGCTAAAACCTAATAATTGGAAGAGTTGTGTGAATGATCTTTTTGTAGTGACTAATCCTATTGTTAGTCTAGGGATTTCTTGTTGAAACTTGTCATGTATGCAATGTTAGCTTAATTGATTGTTTTACGGTCTTAACTCCTATATATGTGATTTAGCCTAAGCTTATGTCACCGTTCTTTGTGTTTTATGTTGTCGTTCGAAATCGCTATAAAGATATAATTATTGTGCTCTACATATGAAGCGTGCAAATTCCTTAACCTAATCTTCATGTAATGTACGTTCCACATCATTATTGAAGTGAACTATTATTTGGTTTTGTAAGCTTTCAACCCTCCTATTATTTCTCTTGCACATATTTCTGCCAACCTTCATATTGTGAACATTTTTATGCAAACCATGACATGATAATGTCATCAGTTCCTTGTGGGAAAATTGAAACTTCTTGAATGATCAACATCAATTTGAGGGGAATATCAATTGGATATATCACAATACACTTCATGCCAGAATTAGCCATAATTCATATATAATTTCTTTATAATTAATAAAAGAGAATCTATGTAATTTAGTGTTGCTGTTAATGTTTGTATTTAGGGGTACACTGGTAGGTTCCTTGTTAGGCCAATTATGATTGTTGTACTTACTGAAATTTAGCGTTGTATCTTGCTAACAATTTGTCTATATGATGATGAGCACCTTAGATATAAAGGCAATGAGTCCAATTGACAAGTCTCATTTCATGTAGTATTCGTGTTTTATTTTTTGGAGGGATAAATAATGTACATATGTGCACCTAGACACCTTCAGTCAATGCCGGCCTTTTGTCTTGTACATTTTGAATTATGAACTGATTCACTAAGCCTGATTGCTGTCTAATAGGTAACTGAAGAAGAGCTTGCAGCACTTTTTGTGAGCTGTGGACAGGTAACTTCCTCGTTTTATGCTTGCTTGATTGTTTCTTAGTTTTTTGCGATCTGATGGTTCTTCTAAATTTTGTTTCTCTTTTGTTGAAGGTTGTTGATTGTCGTGTATGTGGTGACCCAAACTCAGTTCTTCGTTTTGCTTTCGTTGAGTTCACCGATGAGGGTAATTTTCTCTTCTGCAATTTGGACCTTAACGCCCTTAACTATTCTTACATCTTTATATTTATTTATACATCTATTTGCTAATTTCTCTGGAATTGGGCTTACCAATCATCAGAGGGTGCAAGGGCCTCCTTAAGTCTTTCTGGAACAATGCTTGGGTTTTACCCAGTGAGAGTTCTTCCTTCCAAAACTGCAATTGCACCTGTAGATCCAAAATACTTGCCAAGGGTAAGGAAAAATGAACTTGGTCAGCTTTCAAAATTTATATTTCGTTTAGGACAGCTTTCTTACTGCTTCTTAAAGCTGTAAACTACTTTAAGAAGCAAAAAGGAAGCCGTCCCAAACAAAGCCTTAGTCTTTGATAACTTTGCTGATAAATAGCACTTTGATAATTGTTTGGCATTCAGTCTGAAGATGAGCGTGAAATGTGCACAAGAACCATTTATTGTACAAATATTGATAGCAAGGTATATTTTAGAGTGCATTATTTATTCATATACATCATACACTATTTTTCAGCTTCTTTAACCTGTTACTGTTATCATTGCTTGCAGATCACCCAAGCTGAGGTCAAACTTTTCTTTGAAACAGTTTGTGGACCGGTCAGTTGGCCTTTCCCAGAAAACCCAAAAAAAAAAAAAACTTAATACCTATAAAACTTTGAACCAACCTCTTTGGTGCAGGTCTATCGCTTGAGGCTTCTTGGAGATTACCATAATGCCACTCGAATTGCTTTTGTTGAATTTGCAAGGGTTAGTATTCAATTTCCCCTTTTTGGCCTTTAAAGGGTTAACAGGAGCCATGGTTAGGTTATCTCTATTATAATTTGGAGGTCATTAGCACTGCATGCATCCAACTCCCCAATCCATACATTTTTAGAAATTTCATGCACCATAGTGGCAAAATTAGTATTTGAAGGAAGGCGAAGTAAAATGAAAGAACTAAGAATCTATTTGGGATGATTGCAACCACCTATAAAAATCGTTGAACTATTGTGGAAAGTAGAGTTTTAAAGTTATTGTTGGTATTATAATTTTTTTCTTTTAAAAAAAGTCGAACAACAACTTCTTATATTTGTCATATTTTAATGAATTTGGGTATAAAAAGTTGGTTCTTATTACAAAAACTTTTAAAAATTACCCAGTAATTTATAGCCAAATTATCATAGTTGATATTTGAAAAAATAAAATAGTGAATACGTTGCTTCAAATAAATCCTAAAATGAGCCAAACTATTGGCTATCGGGGCAAGGCCTTTGTATGATATATAACTAAGACTTCATTTGGGACGACTTTCTTACTGCTTCTTAAAGAAGCTTTCGAGTAGAAAATTTTTATTTTTGTACTAAAAAATTGCTTTAAAAAACAGTAAGAAAGCCGCCCCAAACGAAGCCCAAGTCTCCATCCCCCGGGTTTTTCAATTTGCACGGGATCACACATATTCTTACCTCTCTTATTCAGTCTTCTCCCGAATATTATAATTTTTTTAGCTTTGGACAATCTTTACCCAGGATTTTGCTCTTGCAGGCTGAAAGTGCAATTGCTGCTCTCAATTGTAGTGGAGCAGTATTGGGGTCCTTCCAGTTAAGGTTCATTTCTTCCACACTTTTCTGATCAAACTGTTCAAACTATTGCATTTTGAATAAATTTCCTAAATACTTTGTTCTGGTGAATTATATCATATCAGGGTGAGCCCTTCGAAGACTCCGGTGCGGCCTCGAGCAACTCGGTCACCCATGTCTTGAATCTAGGTCCGTATGATTAGATAGTTCTTAAAACTAATGCATATATATATCATGGAGGAAATGCATACTTCAGTTGTTCTCTTAAGTTTTACTTTTTTTTTTTTCTTCTGATGAGTACTTAGGTTAGATTTCTCTTTTACTGGCATCTTGAGGAACATCTAGGCTGAGAAGTTTGCCCCTGCAGACGATTAAAATTGTATGGTTCAATATCTATTAGTGAAGCATTTGGAGGTTTCAGCGATTCTTTTCTGAAATTAAGAATTTTGGGTCTCTTTTGGTAATATACAAAACCCTAAACAAGAACGATAATCTTAAATCTCTAAGCTTTTGTAGGGTTTCTTAACACCAATGCATATATGCTTTTATTTCTTGAAATTATAGTAATGGTATCAAACTATATGGAGTTTTGTAGTTAAAAAGAAAAAAAAAAAACATAAAGAGTTTCGTGTTTATGTGAAATTTTTACATGCGGTCATCATATGCCGGCAGGAGGCGAAGTAGGAATTGTCTCTTCACTTTTTAGTTGTGTACACGGCTGTGTACTGGGTGATGTGATGCATCCTGATTCTCCTCCGGACAGTCTGGTGACCACATGTATTAATTTCTCCGTGTTTACAAAGACAAACCAATGGTTTCCATTTTAAAACTTTTTTAAAATTATATTTCTTTTAATTTTTAGTGATCCTATATAAAGTTTAGTACTAATCTTCTTAAATTAAAAGTTTGAGAAGAGGAAGGTAGAAGATGGTATAGATTTGGGCTGCTCTCTGGAGAATAGCTATGGGATGTCTATGGAGCCTTCGGCCCAACCCGTCAGGAAATGTTTAGTTAATAGGTTGTTTTCATGTCTTAGTCGCGATTGACATGTATTAAATCTATCAAGTTTGAGCCGACACTGTATTAATTGGTACAATGACCTGAACACGACTTGATCTGAATGGAAAAAGGATGAATTGTTTCGAGTCATAGGTAAGTGAAGTGATCGAGTGGTATTTGCTCTACTTGGAAAGCCCGTATTCGATGAAAGTCGTATGTACGGCTTGGAGGGAGATTTTTCATATCTTTTGAAATCCACCCTACAATATGGGGTCAAAAAGCCAAAATAAGTGATTCGTTTTTAGCCCTTATCAAAAGAAAACTGATTCTTGAACCTCTTTCACGCTCATGTCACGTCGAGGTACTGCAGAAGAAAAAACTACTGAGGGGGAGGTTGGGGCAAACTTATAAGCAAATATATATAGTGATATTTGTTCTTAAATAAAATTTAGTTTGAAGTATGGATGATTTGTTTGTAAAAAAAAAAAATCAAAATGATGTAATTGATTAATCATTTAATTTCTAAAAAAATGTATGTTGGAGTTGCCTTGAATTTGGCTTGACTTATATTAGTTCATATCCTTGATTGTTGTACGCTTCATAAATATGTCGGGGGTCTAAGGGGGCAGCGCTCCCTGGCTTGGTTTGACCTGCTCGCTCAGGTCGCGAGGTCAAGGGACAGCGCCCCTGGGGGGGTTTTCGGGGGCAGTGACAAATTTTGGTTGTAAGGATATTTTTTGATTCTCTTTATTATTTCTCTTTATATTTGGTTCATCATTCCCTAATAATAACACATCTACACAATGAGTTTAATTATGCTAAGGGCAATTGACTAAAGATCATAGTATATTAAATTTTTTAGGGGTCAATTGCCTAAAAATCATTGTAATAAAAACTAAAAAATATATGGAAGGGAACAAATTACTTAATGAATCATATAATAAAGATTTTTTTTTTATTTTTTAAGGGGGGCAATTGTCCCCGGGCTTACGGTGGATCCGCCCGTCTTAGGAGCAAGCCTTGAACATCACTAAGGTAGATCTTTGGTGAAGTTTAGATGAGCTGGCTATTTAGAACTTTTGGTGAAACGTTGCTACAATGTGATTTTGAAGGCACCATATAGGCAGGCATGCGTTACACATGCGTCATACAGCTGTTGGAGAGTTGAGGGTTATTCAGAGAGAGAGAAACAAGCTCGTTAATGGTTACATGTATAAATTTTGAGAATATGATATATGTATTTCTTGTATTGTAAAAAAATGGGTATAAAAGAGTCACAATTGAGATATATTGCTGGTGGCGGCCGCTGCAGCGGCAATGGAGGTGAGTTTCTGGTCTATTTGAAAATCACCCAAATTGGAAGAATTTCAAATGCACTGAATTTGAACTAGAGTGTGAATTCCTTTTACTTTAAATTTTACTTTGCAGTTATTTTATTTTAGATCAAACAACAACATTTTCAAAACCCTTATATTTGAAATACTTTACATTCCTTTTACATCAAACAAAACATTCTCTCAGTGTGAACTTATTACAATGGTAGTTTTAAAAGGATGTAGTTGTCTAAATCGTCTTATGGTTAAGACCAAATTTATTTAGATCTTGATATTAGTCTTAGAAAATCTTTAATATATTGGGGAGCCTTTTGGTCTTTTGCAACAATAATAACAACAACAACATCATCATCATTATCAAGCCTCTTTCATGTTGAATGAATCATTTTTCTCCATTGTGTCCTATTAAGAGTTAAAATCTCATTTAAATCTAATACAAAAATTCATTTATAACCAAGTCTTTTTAGGTCTACGTCTACCTTTTGTAACATAGGTTGGATCTAATACTATTCTACTAACCAAGTCATTGGAAGGCCGATACATTATGTGACCAAACAATCTAAGGCGAATCTTTTTAATCTTATCAACCACTAGAGCTAGTCTAAACTTTTCATGTATATACTCATTTTGCAATGTCTCTAACTGTAAATCCTAAAGCTTCCTCATCTTTGTAATACTTGACTTAATTTTATGCTTCTTTTTTCATGGCAACCATTATGCACCATAAAGCATTATAGGTATCACCATCTTATAAAAGTTTTCGTCAAGTTTGAGGGGTACTTTTCTACCGCCAACAAGCCCAATGCATTTCTCCACTTCAACTATCCAACTTGATCTCAACTAATAATATTTTCATCTATTTCACCATCGCTTTTAATGAGAGAACTGTAATGTCAAAAAATGTACACTCTTTTTAATGAATTGGTCACCCAATATCACAATCCCACTACTAGATCTATTACTACTAAATTAAATTCAATGTATTAGCTAAGTTGACCTTCATAATTCAAGTTTTTCTTCAACTTCCGCTCTAGCCTTATTATAAAAAAGAATATCATCAGCAAAAAAGCATATACTAAGGTACAAATGTCTAGTAAGAACATCCATGACCAAAGCAAAAAAGATGAGCTTAAAGTTAATCCTTGATCTAATCTAATTATTGAAATAGGAAAGTACTTAATCAAACCACCTTGTATTTGAACACAAATAACAGTTCTTTTATACATATTCATAATGACTTGAATATAAGTCTCGCTAACTCTTTTCTTTTCTAGATTTCGCTTGACTATTGTCATCATCATCACTAAATCGTTTCTCTCATAATCTCAAGTACAACTATATGAGACTAAGCAAGCGCTCCTATTTTAGTAATAAAGTCTCATCCAATTATAGAAAAGAACATACTTCTATAACTTCAAGTACATAGCAGATTATTTTAAATGGATCAAATTATGTAGTTTTTTTTTTTCTTTCTTGAAATTTTCACCTAAAAACAACAGCCTTTTACATTCTTTTTTTTTTAATATATCAATGTGCGCTTCATCTTCACGTAAAATTCAGACATAAAACTCTTTCCATCCCTATAAAATTTTAACACATAATAATAATAATAATAATAAAATCTAATGATAAATTTATATAAACAATACAACACTATTGAGGAGACACACACAAAGAGTTCAAAAGGCCCAACTAAAAGCTTGGCTATGTCCATCAAGCTCAATGTAGTTGCATTTGTGCATGTGAATAATTAATGGCTATATAGTGACTCCTCACCTCACATCATAAAATTATACATTGAGAACGCGACATAGATAGCGACAAACTTAAGAAAAATAATTTTATAATTGTGGTTATGTCACGCTTCACTTTATATCGCTATTTTTATTTTTTTTAATGGTTCATAGCTTTATTTATGGGGAAGATGTACGGAGCTCGAATATTTTTTGTTTGAAAAGAAAAAATAAATACATATCAGAAGTTTATTTGAGAATCACAATTATGTATTGTAAGAATGCAACTAATTTTAGTTTGTTGGGTGAGAATTTTAACTATTAAATAAAAGGTTTTAAGTTTGAGTATTGCGTATGTTATGATGTGTGTGAGAGTTAGGGGTGCAGATTAGTCAAGTCGAGTTTGACTAGCGAGCTAAATCCCAAGCTCGAAGACGAGTTGAGCTCAAAAGCTGATCTCTAGCGCTGCGCTCGAGCCAGTTGGCAAGGTGTACTAATTTCGAGTTTGCAGAGCGCTCGAACACGCAGTTCCGCTTTCGCACTCGAGTCGCTCAACGAGTAATTGAGCCGAGCATTATCTATGTTGAACTTGAGCTCGATAATCCATGAGCTCTAAATTCTGCTCGAGCTCGAAACTCGATAAGCTTGACTAACGAGCTCGTTAACGAGTCGAGCTTGGCACAGCAGAGCTAAATCACGAGCTCCAAAGATTGAACAAAATAATGGTGAAAAAGTGTTTTAATTGATTTTATTTATAAAAAAATTCAGAATTAGTAGTTGGTTTAATTTTAATTATTTCATGCCAATAATTTGATTAAATTTCTAATTATGAAATAGATTGATAAATATTTTTGATTTTTTTAATTAAAAAATCTACTTAAAGAAGCAATTAAATAGTAATCTCAAACTCCTATGGCTTCGTTTAAGACAGCTTTCTTAGTGCTTCTTAAAGCAGATTTCTAATAAACAAATTTTAATTTTTGTATTAAAAAGTTGTTTTAAGAATCAGTAAGAAAGCCGCCCCTAACGAAGCCTAAACCGAAAACTTCGGCATATCTAGAATGCACTCTTTAGTGTTTTTTATTTTATTTGAAAGTTATTATATTTGGAGCTTTTCATATGCACATTAAATTCTTTTTTATAGTCATAGGCTGCTATCGACCACCACTTGCCATCTCTGCCAACCAACATATTCGATCACCAACTCACTTTGACAGCACTGCCGGCCACCGCTGACAGCTGCTGACCACCATCAGCTTCCGCTCACCTCCTTACGCCGGCTACTACCTAGGAGTATCTTTTACATTATATTTTTTATTATAAATTAAATAAAAAATAATTATCTATATTTATTTTAAAT